CAGGTAATGAAACATTTGCAAGAAAAGAACCAAGCTCAGAGAACCCCAAGGACTCCACATGGCTTTCATTTGTAATTTATATATAACTGTAAATTATTCCATTTTCCCTGCAGTTTTCAAGATGCACATTCCATGTTGCATGCTACAGTTTGTCTCATATTTGCTGTATTGTGTTCAGGTTCTCCAACCTGACATTCACATTATCTGCATATAAAAGTACACATATTTTATTTCACATTCCCAGTAAGTACACATGTGATGTCACCACAACCAAGGAGACAGCACACATTCTTGCCTTAATTCCTGCTAAGTGTTGAATCATTTGCTAGGCATTCTATCCTCATTTATTTTTCTTCCATTAAATACCATTTTCCTTCCATTAAATACCACCCTTAACCACATTCAACAACCTACCTTCATTCCATTCTCACAGAAAATATTCCATAATTCAAGTTTATTCACTTTATCATATGCCATAGATGGAATCAAAGCCCCATTTTACAAACATGCTTAAGATCTCTAATCTAGACTCTTAACTTGTAAGCTAATGTATTGTTGCCCACATACACCAACTGTTGCTTAATGTGGAAGTAGATTGCTTTCCTGTATCTTTCAACAAACCTCTTATTGAAAGAGTGTCCACCATATATTTGTATTCAGTTGTGCTACTCACTGATGCGCAAAACAACATGAATCCTGCTAAATGTTAATTATACCTATGATTGATGTAACACTTTGGAGTACTTTGTGTACATCACATGGTAATCCTTACAACAATTGTGTATAGTAAATCAGGATAATAATTGGGATGCTATTTTGCACTATTATCTCTGCCTGCCCAAGGAACTTGGAGATGGAAGGATATATCTTCTTGGCACATGGACTGGGGGCAGAGGAAGGATTTTTCTCACTGAGAAAGATTTTGGTAGAAACTTAGTTGTTCTGTGCCATCACAGATCTTTGTGTGAATGCACAGATTATCACGATAGAGCCACGGTATTCAAACTGTTCCCTGGAACCCCAGGGTTCTGTGAAAATCGTCCAGGGATTCAACATTGATAGTTTCTGTTTACATTGTATTAAATGCGTTATTGCAAAATTAATTGTAATGTTTTGTTCAAATAAAATGTATTACATGAAACTTATTTATTAATGGGATCTGCACTGATTTTTCACATTAAGAGGGGTTCCTTCGGTATCTCACTTTTGAAGACTACTGTGAGAGAATCAGATTCAGATAAGCAATGTGTCCTATTTATTGAAGGACGCTCTGTAGTGTGAAGCTTCACCTCAGGATTGGTAGATAGACCCCATACATGCTGAGTTTTCTTTTGCTTTTTTCTTCCTCTGACAGGTGTGAAGCTCCTGAACAAAAGCAGAAGGTTCCTCTGAGCCTCTTTAGAAAAGAGAAATCACAGGAAGATAAGCAGAAAGAGCTGACTGATAAAATTCGCCAGCAGCAAGAGAAGCTGGAGGCCTTGCAGGCAAGTTTGGGTGCAGGATCCTCCACTGTGTGGATTTCGTACTCCTTTCAAACAGTACTTTTCACAGCAAGCCTCATGTTATCCATAAGGAAGGTAGCATGCACTCTAAATTCACTTGTGTAAACCTTAGAATAGTTACAGGTGGTCCTCACTTAACGACCACTCATTCAGCAACTGTTAGAACTTAACAGCAGTGGTGAATGAGTGGTACTTACGACCAGTCCTTAAAGTTACGTCCATCACAGCATCTCCATGGTCACATGATTGTGATCCGGGTGCTTAGTGACTGGCTCGCAATTATGATGTTGCAGTGTCCTGCGGTCACATGATTGTCCTTTGTGACATCCATTGCCAGCTTGCCTGCCAGCAAAGTCAATGGGGAAGTTGGCAAGAGGTCACAAATAGTGACCATGTGATGTTGCACTTAAAGATGGTGTGGGATTTGCTTAACGACAGCACCCAGAAGTGCCGGAACTGCCATCACTAAGCAGCACAGTCACATGACACTACTTTACAACTGCGTCACTTAGCGACAGAAATTCCAGTCCCAATTGCCATCTCCAAATACAAGTACTATCTTTAAATACAGGTAGTCCTTGCTTAACAACCACAATAGGGACTGGAAAATTGGTCGGTAAGTGGGGTGGTCATTGAGCAAGTCACCACATGACCAAACCTGATTTTAAGACCATTTTTACAACAGTCATTAACCAAATCACTGCAGTCGGTAAGTAAATCACATGGTTGTTAAATAATAGTTTCTCCAATGGATACTTTTTGCCTGAATTCGCTTAATAACTGTGGTGATTCACTTAATGACCATTGCAAAAAAGTTGCAAATCATGATCACGTGACCACGGGGGGTGGTGCAGTGGTTTGCAATGGTCATAAGTGCAAATACAGATCGTAAAGCACTTTTTCCAAGGCCATTGTAACTTCGAACTGTCGTTTAACGAATGATTGTTAAACGAGGACTACCTGTATTTGGAAGTAAGACTTCTGTAACACAAAGCACCACTAGTCTCCATCTTGGAGCTGAATTCATATTTTAACCAAGAGTTCAAATCTCTACTTGGTTTCAAATTTCCATTACCTTGGTATTTAGGAACTCCATGCATATCATTTGGCATTTTGTTTCTTCCTTGTTTTGTTTGCTTGCAGGAGGTGGGTTAGTGCTCCCTTATATATGCGTGTATGTTTCTTAATTACTGCAGAATGAAGAGGTGACTTGCATCTGTGAATGAGTAACCAACAGATAAATTGGATTTGCGTGAAAGTAGTTTACACGTGACACTTTGATGCATTTGAGAGAAATTCTTAGACATGTATTTGCTACTTAATAACCACAACATAAGACTAAACCAAAATTTCCCATTTCCATTTTGCCAGCCAATTACTGGGTGGCAAGATTTTCAGTTGATTATTTTTTTTCATGTGGAAGTAAAGTGAGCAGAGTTTGCTGTTGCTTGTTAATGGCTGCTATTTTTCTTTTCCAATGTATGCCTCAGGTATAAAGCTATATAATATTCTATTACTCTGACAGGTTCTGCTGGGAAGGAATGGCAGCCTGGCTGAATTTTGGCCAATGGATAAGTTCTTCCACATTTTGTCAGTGGCTTGTTCTCTTAGTTGTGTTCTCTTTGATCACACAGATAGGTTCTGAGCTCCCATAGAACTTTATTTAGAGCATTCTAAGCCATGTTTTGTCCACTGGCATTTCTGCTATAGAGGGATGTATTCCCTGATTTCATTCTTCTGTGATTTACTGAAGTAGTAGCCGTTGCTGCTTCACTTGCAAGAGGCATGAGTATCTCCACTGTATCAAAATCACATCCATAACTTTTTCTTTCAATAGATTCTTTGGTCTCACTGGTACTTCACTGTCTTGAGTTACAACTTTCACTACTGAAAATCAATTGTTTTCTCTCCACTGCTGGCATTGATAAAGATTTAATTGCAAATCATTTTGTAGTTTCTTTGTGTCCATTATCTGCATGTCAACTATTTCTGTTCTCAGATACTTCTTGCCATTTGTGGAAGTTGCTCCTCAGTTGCACACTGAACTTTCAATGCTATATTGACCTTGGTGTGAAGAATTGTATTCCAGAGTCATCTGTTTCCTTGCCTCTACCATCTTCTTCCTTTTGACCCAACAGCATGTTATTTTACTCCCTTTTTACTGTTTTGTGGAGCCATTTCTCTGCATGACAGATCCTTCACTTCAAGCAAGTTGGTTATCATTGGTTGGATGATCCAGAATGGTTCACTCATGCTTCACAATTCCAGTCATTAAACTAAGCTTTCAGTTATTGGCTCCATTCTTTAGGTCAACTGGCCTTCATTCTCATAACTAAATAGAAGCTCCATCTCAGTTTATCAGCTTCCCGGCACCTTGTTTCTTCTCCCAAGTACTCTCTACCAGTACAGAAATACTGCCTGCTTTCTGCTCTAAGCTAAACATTGCTTCTCAGTGGGGCCTTTGATCTAAATTTTGTCCTGCCTCCTCTCCTGTAAAGTTGAGTTCAGCTCCAGGCAGCCACATGGACACAATTGTACATATCATTTGGTGTGTAAAGAGAGGCTTGTACCTTTCTTCAGCACCACATGGCTTATTGTCATGGGTTTCTCATTGTGGAACAGGGTTGTGTAATCAGATTCAACATTCTTCTAGTTTTGTGGCATTTCACACTCTCCATCAGTTGTTTTCCTTGCCACAGTGGGGGATTTCCCTTCCAAGGGAACCTTTGCGGCTGAGACAGGATTTGGGGTTTCTGTTCCTGTTACTTCCCACTTCAGCAAAAGAACTACAGCATTCTCCACTCTGATCTCCCATCATGTCAGTGGCTTCATTCTACCAAATAATTTGCAGATAATCACTATCAGAGCTCAAGATTGTTTACTTTACTTGCCCATCTTCATAATCCATGTTACTAAAACTCCTGTGTTTTACTGATTCTTTCCAATTCAGGTCTTCCATTTAGATTCATCATGGAACTGAGAATAGTTTAAAAATATATGGCTGTGGTATTAGCCTCCTTCTTGACCCAGGTGTGAAAGCTTTTTCTCTACGCAGACCATGTGTTCTTGATGGACTCCACTTCATATGAGCTTTGTTCTGGAATATGCTGCATTTTGTTTTCTAAGTTCTGGGTTTCTGTATAAATCATAAATATATAATTTGTAGCCAGGATTCTGGATTTAAGAGTGGATGCACAATGGAGTGCTTTATCATTCACCATCTGGTTTTTCTATATGTTGTAATTCAGTACAGACGTGGTCCAGCAGATTCTATATCAAATGGCCACCATGTGATGGTTGCTGTCTTCACCTGCCTGTAACACCTGAGCAGTGGCTCCTTAAGGAATTTCTGTATCCTCTGTATTGATTCTACCCATCTTACCTGGCATAATGACAAGGTTATATTCATACTGATTCCTCTTTCCTGTTGAAAGTGGTATTTTCCTATTTTATTTTGACAGACTGTAAATGAAATCTAGCACAGCATTCACCTTTCAGATGATTCTTGCAACTCTGCTTTTTATATTGACCACACCAGACTGTTCAGCAGATCTCAACAGTTTTTCATCATAGTAGCTTCAAATAGAAATTTCCACTTCCTATCTAATCATTTGATAATGAAGTGTGGACAGCTTTTCCTTCCTTTCCACTTGCTCGACAATCCTAATGTTAAATCTGAGCTGGATATTCTTGGAGAACTTTTGGTTCAGTCATATGTAATATGCAGTGATTGATATGCATGTGTGAATGCGTCATCGTGGAATGCAGTGCTTTTCACGTTATCTAGTATTCAGCTGCCAGTAGTCAAATTATGATGCCTGTATATGTGGATTAGGCCTTGTAGTAGTATCCATAATCCCACATGGATTGGACTGAGTCATCATAGGTTTATTATAATTTCCAGGGAACAGAAAGGCGAGCACAAGGCCAACTTTAGTAAAGAGGGTAACCTTCAGGAGTACAGTGGCTATTCTTACCATGAATACCTTGTTCCGCTTGCTCTGTCCAGAAAACTACCCCAGTACGTTCTCATGCTGACCTGAAGAAACTGCCTCTGGAGGTCACCACACGACCTGTGCTAGAGGTGAGTGCCCGCCTGCCCCTGCTATTTACAGAACTGTTCTCTTCTGTTATACCAAAGGTAATCTACTTAGTCCTCAGGTTACGATGGCAATTGGGACCAGAATTTGCATCACTAAGCAATGTGGTTGTAAAGTGTAATGTAACATGACTGCATTGCTTAATGATGGCAATCCCGGTTGCCATTGTAACCCCAGGACCCTGTGGATTGTTAAGCGGAAAAGGCAGAAGTCTCAGGCAAGGAGCGTGGTGAGTGCTGCAGGCAGGCGTTACAGAGTGCAGGGAGGTACACAGGTGCCACAGATGATGGGGGGTGCTGTGGGAAGGCACTATGGAGTGTGGATGGGCCGGTGGGGACCATGGGCATTACAGAGTATGGGCAGGTGGGGGGGTGCTATGGAGTACAGGATCCTCTGTAACAGGGCTCCTCAGGAGAAAAGGTGGCAGAAGTGACTTAAGGGAATGACTTACGACCTTCCCTGACAGCATTCCCATTGACTTTGCTTGTGGGAAGCTGGCAGGGAAGGTTGCAAATGGCGATCACATGACCACGGGATGCTGCAACCATCGTAAGCGTGAGCTGGTTGTCAGGCACCCGAATCGTAATCACGTGACTGCATGGGGTGCTACAACCGCCGGAACTTAAAGGACCAGTCGTAAGTACCACTTATCCACTGCTGTCTTGTCTTGAATGGCTGCTGAACTGTTGCTGAAGTAGTCATAACTCGACGACTACCTGTCTTTTCATCGTGTCCTTGCAGAACACAGACTTAGTGAGCAAACCACAGCGTCCACGGTCTCCTCCGCTGCCAGATGTGATTAAGAATGCTCCATGTAGGCCTCCAGTTCCTCCACCTCCTTCCAGGCCCATCAATCCTCAGAAGAAGGCCCCCCCACCCCGACCAGCCATTAGCTGCTCCAGACCACAGAACATGGCACACCGGGAAGAATCCAGCCTTTCCAGGTTACAGCATCACCTGGAGGCTCCTCGGAAGTGTCCCCCATCCACCTTTGTAAGGCCTCTGCCCAAACCTGCACCTATTGGAAAGATGGCCCCCGAGCCTGTTCAGAATGCCAGAAGCCATCATAGACCCCCCAGTCCTAAACACTTAAAGGTGCTGCTTCCACCAAAGAAACCTGCCTTAATCAAAAATGCCCAGGTGAGAACTGTTTTTCTAAAAATTTTTTGGGGGGGGGGAGTGTTTCTCCTTTTGTACTATGAATGGCTACTGTTTCTGTTTACAGAATGCTCCAGAACAATCACCAAAACAATTATGATTAATTTTTTAAAGAAATAATGAATAGAAATAGTGCTCTTGATATGAGTACCCAAAAAGTCCACTATAGTACATGTATCCTACTCCAATAATAAAAAGAAAAGAACCTAGATCCTATGTCTCACACTAGAGTGCTCCAAGAAAATCTAGACCTTGTGAAAATTAGGCCTACTTATTCACACGGACTTGACCACTTCTTGTTTGATATTTAGATGCCACTAGTGTTTCAAATAATGCATATTATTATTTGCACTGATCAGCTTGTCAGAATGAGGCAGGAAAAATAGAATAGCAGCTGTCCCATCAGAAGTTTCATTTCAAACCATTTCAAGTATAAACAATATCTGTAGTTCTCTTTTGAAGGATTGTCTTTCCCTCCATCCAGCTTTACAGTATAGGTAGTCCTTGTTTAACAACCACAATTGGGACTGGGAACTTGGTTGTTAAGTGAAGCAGTCATTAAGTGAAAAATCACATGACCACACCCATGTTTACAATCTGTCTTTAGCTTTCCTTTGCTTTACAGACCTGCAAAGGTCGTAAATGCGGGCACTGGTCATAAAGTTATTTTTTCATCACCGTTAATAACTGCGAGTGGTCATTGTCCATGGCAGTTGCTAACCAAGGACTACCTGTAGTATTTTTTTTTTATTATTATTATTATTATTATTATTATTATTATTATTATTATTAATTAAATATATATGCTGCCTGACTCCCA